GATACCTGGGGTCTCAATGGGACATAAAGCTGAGGGAGGAATTAAAAGTTTGCCAGGAGAATGATCCTGGGAGGAGCAAAATCAGTTGAGCTAGGCGGTAGGGAGCTGGGCACTGGGACGGCTGACTCTTGGGTTCCACAGGTTGCTCCCATGATATGTGTGGCTTAATTTCTTTTCTTACTTGGCTATAGGTACGGCATTTATAGTTGCTGCAGGGCAAGGGAGGCATAACTTCTGGGCTCTCCCTTTCCAGGGAGGGGCATCTCTGAAGCCATGTTCCCTGACAATATGTGGGGAGGAGAAGGGAGGCGGAGAGAACACGGGGATCAAACCTATCAGAGGAGAGGAGACCCACCCTGGGGGGCAGAGGTCAGCAGAAACCTATTTTCTCTGGGGATGTCTCATTTCTGGGACTGAGGCCTTTGTAGGAGATAGAGGGGAGAAAAATGGAGGTGACTGGGTCCCAAATCATCGGGTCTTCTTTCTGCTGTGCACTCTCTCTCAGGGCAGCTGCAAGGGGGGACTGGACATCATGAGGGGAGGATGGAAAGCCCATGACTGTGAGGCCAGCGAAGGGGTCTCAGAAGGCCCCAGAGGCTTGCAGGAGAGACCCTGGTCCGGGATACAGACTGTGACACTGGAAGAACAAGACTCTGGAAGTTCAAGGGGATGAAAGTGAAGACCTGGACCCTGGAAGAAGGGGCGGGACACTGTCTTGCACAAACCTCCATTACACTTTGGTCCTTAAGTGGTCCCTGTAACATCCCACCCATCCAAGTCAGGCTGCGCGGGTCACATGCAGCCGGCTCCACTAAGGAACAACGTGAAATCGAGACCTGGAGACAAGAAACACCTCCGGTGCACAGGAGCCTCGTGGATTTGAGCAAGGCACGACCCTGAGCCTCGGTTTTTCACTGTGCAACGGGCCTAATAAGAAAGAACTCGCGGGGTGCACTGACGGGTGCGAGTAGGCGAGGCACTGTTTTACTGCGGGTGGCGTGGGAGTGGCAGGGACGCCCAGGCCCGCGCTCGGCGGGCGGGGACCCGGGGACCGGGCGCTGCCGGGGTGGGGCTGCTCCCGCGGGGCGCGTATCGGCTC